CTTTAAGATCTTCGCTTCCTGGTACCAATAAATCCTTGTATAGCGATAGCATTGCTGATAAGAGTTCTGAATAGGGCATTACTTTGTAAAAGTCAACAGAATTTATGTGGAAGAAAACGATTAATGATAAATATTGTTAAGCGCAAATTTAATTGCCTAATTCGTTTGGTGCCATTTCTCCACGGGACTCGTAAAATCAACATTCTCAGAATTGAAAGATTGAACAATTCCCCGTTCAAAAACCTTCTCCCAAAGATTAATTTCTTGAAGATTCAAATCATCCCTTTGAGCAAGGAGACTAAAGCATTTTCTGAAGTTTAACAAAATCATTCGATTGAAAGATAACGGCAGGATTTTGACATGCAATATCTGTGCAAAATTTGTAAAGTTTTGTGCTCGAATACGACTTGATTGATCAAGGAAAAATTTTCAGTCATCGACTCGATATGAGATACAAAAGAAGATTTTTGAATGTATTCAAACAATTCGTCAAGTACCAACTTATCCGCAGCAATAAATAAATCCAAAAGCGTCGGCACTCCATGTTCTTTCAATTCGATTTTGCCACGATACATATATCTATCTTATCATAAAATAAATTTTATTTACTGTAAGCATGTATCATAATTTATTTACCTCAATAAGATTTCAAAAACACGCGGAGAAACATTTGGTTTCTTAAAATAGTCATTTTACAAGACAAACTCGTTAAGACGAAGCCACGCTAAGCCGAATTGCATTAAGCCGAAGTTTTTCTTGTTTACCAAATTTTTATTATATATAAATTCGATTTAGTGCGAAATTAAGTAAAACGAAAATCTCGATAAGCCGGATGAATTGTCTCTGCCCCGACCTTCGTCTTATCGAGTTTGCCTTGTATTTGGTTCTCGTTTCACTCACGCATCAGAAAGAGTGACAGCAAAATATTGGGATTGCACCATTAAAATAGACGAATGTGCGGTAAAGTTTTGTAAATTTTTTCCATCACCATATCGAAATATCACAAAAATCGCCCTTTTCATAAAATTTAGCCAACTTATTCGAATGTGAATTCAATAACAATAAGTATCTGTACATGTGTATCAGTATTAGTAAATACTAATATATCTTGATACATGTAATAGCAACAATGATAAATGGTACTTTATCACAGTAACGCTAAATCTCGTAATTCCTTAATTTCTCTTACATTTCCCTACACGACAATCACCGTCATTCTTGGAACAATTAACCGTCATTATCATAATGAGAACATTCTGTTAACATAGCCATTAATCGAATTAATTAAGTGTTTAACTTTCTTCATTCGGAATAATTGAATACGTTACATTGTTACCGTAGTAACTTTAGGATTCATGAGTCCATGGTTCCCTGCACTTTTTAACACACTGTTTTTATATCTAACACTAATTCATGAGTATATCTCTTAGTCACATACTCCTTTTAATTCTGTTTATTACACCTTTCGATGTTTAAGTAAATTTCTGGAACATACAACTTTAGTGATCTTTCGATATTCTTTCTAATACCCCTTTTAATTGCTATCATTCATATTGTCTTCAAATTTATTATTTAGAAACGATAGTACTACTAACAAAAGGGATAATTATAGACACGGTATTGATGTATGTAATCGATATAAAAAGGCGGGATATTAGCCTTTGAAAAATATACTCTAATCAAATAAAAAACCTTTTACCTGTATAATTCTTTACTCGTAATAAACTATCTTTCTTCTATTGTTTATCTTCGAAGCTTGCATACAAAATGACCTTTATTTCTTGGCACTTAACATAAATCAATAGTGGAAGGCTCAACTCTAAACATACCATAAAGTTAGTTTGTGCTATGTTGTGAAGATTGCTTTGTACCTTGATCAGAATTGCTGAAGTTTTCGTAAAAACTAGCCCGGGAGACCCTTAGAACAGTAGAGAACTCCTCCTCTTGTAAATCATTTAGTCTAAGCTCACCTCCCCTTTTTTTTTACGCCCTATATTCTTTAAATCCAATATTTTTAGGAGGCAGCGAAACAGTACTATTATTATATAGCACATAATGTATCTAATACATTTTGTAACGAATAATTCTTCTAGACCCGTATCAATTAATATGTTATACATGTATATGTACATATTTCAGATTTTGTTACAAAACAATTGAATTCCTCCCGATATGCATCATAGCACTTATAAAATTGCTTTCTATAGATGCACTCTCTCACTAAATGCAATTTGTATTGGTCCCAAGAATGTGCGCACTTAGGAGATTGTGACTGTATAGTAAATCCAATTAAAATATTAATTCTTATTACATATGTAATTATAAATAATGTGTATTATGATTTCAAAAAATTTATATTGAATTATAATAAATCGTTATAAGAAACATCAAGAAACTAAAGTATTAGCAACAACCAAAAATACTTTTTTTAAAAAAAATAAAATTCTAACTAAAACAAATATAAATGTATGTATTTGTTTTTTATAGGAGAAATATTATAACGATAGTTAGTTATTAAAATGCATATAAATGATGCATATACTAAAATCATGATTTTAATTTACCAGATTATCACCTTTTGGCCTAATTTTAGTATAACGATATCATAATTAAATCATTTGGTTTGGTTGAGGTTCGGGTGCACGTTTATCGACTGAACGTTTTTTGTTTTATAGAGATGATGTATAAATTTGAGCTACCTTATTTGAAAAGTTGAAACATTGTTTCATATTAACAATAAATTATCTACTAAGATAACAAGTACCATCAAAGATCACAAAAAGAAGTTTATAGCAAACTTTATGATTTTATTTTTTAAACCCGTCAGTTTATTCCGTTACATGTACAGTACATGTATTTATCAGAAAAGGCTTCTTGGAATACATGGTTGTACATTGAATAACCACCAAATCATTCATATGCTTTGTGTAATATAAAATTATCGGGAATCTCGTGATAGAAATTATTTTGGTGATGAAATAAAAAGCAGCTTTTTACATGTAATTCTGATGATATCATGTATTATGGGATCCAATGGAATTTTAAGTAAATATAATACTAGTATAAATAACTTTTCGAATCAAGGGCTTTGTTTTGGAAGTGGTTATGATGACTTTGGTTTGTTTACTAGCTCAGGTAATTATTGCAAAAAAATTTCTTATGAGTTTGGGCTTTTAGGTGAACAATCTCAGAAGATATCGTAAAATAGTAAAATATATATATATAATTTTTTTCATGATTTTATAATTCAAACAGTTGTTGCTCTCATAGCTAGGAATCATTTTTTGAAAATGCAATTGATTAACTTTAAAATGGTATAAAAATTAGAAATAATTACTCAAAAAAATATGAATATGTATATAGCTTGAAAATTTCAATCTTTTGTGGGAAAAAATTTTCATTTACAATCAAAAATGGTCTTTATACTTTAAATTGCCGCCAGTCTTGTATCATTTTTCTAAAAATACAATTCTTGAGCTTTAAAAAGATATAAAATTTAGAGATGATTACTAGAAAAAAGACGAATATGTATATATCTTGAAATTTTCCATCTTTTATATGTTTTACTATATAATTTTGAACCGGGCGAAACTTTTTGGGGGTACTATACATGTACTTATAACAGATAGAATGTTTTTTCGAGATTTGGATTTCTCAATAAAATAAAACCAGTATGCATGCATTTGAGTAAAATTTCTCGCCTGATGTTAAACAACTGCCGGATACCGACAACAGAATGGGATTAATGCAAAAGGAATTTTTAATGAAAACGCATTATCTGAGAAAATTCTTTGTACATGACATGTTGTTGGTACTTGTTTCTTGTCTGGCAAATCAATAAAAATCGTTTCGGGTATATATTGCAGTTTCTAAAGAATATTAACGTCGTTCTTTCTTCATCAATGATCGTTATTTTTATCTAAATTTTATCTCCTCGATAAAAGTTTAGTTGTAATAAAAGTAGAGAAAAGCAAAAGCATAGAGAAAGCTTAGCATAAGAAGAACAAAAGTCGTGTTTGCCTATCAACAAAAGGATCTTGTTACTTGAAATTTATAAGAAAATAGATATAATTTCAATTTTTTTATGATAATAGTTCAATGTTCTTATTGTTATTAATTGTAACTCTGTAGAAATTAAATTATGTTAAGCACAAATTTTAATGAACCCATTATAGCGCATGTGCATGTATAAAGAATAACTTAAGAATGAGATGTTCTAAATGTTAGGGCCGCATCTCTTAATAAGTTTTCATTATTTATTAATGAAAAATGAATTAATTCCAAAGACGGATACATGTACATGTATATCGATATCGATATGTACATGATACATGTATAACGATAATACATGGATCGATATCGGATATCGGATATCGATATGGTCCTACAACAATAAACATGTACATGTATTACATGTTCTAATGATCCATAAATGTGCAACATGTACATGTATTTTGCGTGCGTACATATATTTTTATTTTCAAACAAATCAACGCATATCGATATGAGCATCAATACGTATTTTAATAATTAATTTAAACAAAATAACTGGCTAACAAACTTTGATGGCACCGACGACGTAACGACTAGAAACTCTAAAAAGCATTTATTACATGTACTTTTATTTAGTGAATTTTAATACATGTACATGACTACATGTATCACTATTATTTTAACTAGAATAGGCATATATACATGGAATAACTTTACTATGGTATTTCATCATCCAATACATGTAGTACATGTACATGTAATCATGTAATCATGTGACGTAAACTCTCATCGACATACATGTACATGTCAAGACTGACATTGTCTTACCATTACGTTTCATATACATGTACATGTACATGTATTAAGTTATTCCTTGTTAACAAAAATATAGTGCTCCCTCATTTTTTTCGCTCGTCTTCGTGAAAAAAGGTAAGAAAACAAAAATTTAAAGAGATTCGAATATTTTTAACTAACTATTTTGAATTATCCAAATCATTTACATGTAGATGGAAAAAATTTCAGTAACCAACTTAGAGACATCTTTCAAGAAGTGCACTATCGAATGTTATTCATCATCGTCGTCGTCGTTACCAAAAATAAGACTCGCACCACAGCTACGACAAGATCTATACAAAAAATTTGAATCAATACTTGATTCGTACGATGCACCTCAGAAATCAATCGAAAAATTAGAATCTTGGCTAAAAGAAAAGAATTTGAAATCTGAACAGCTTTTTTCCATGCTTTCTGCCGGATATTCTACTGAAAATACAAATATTCCTTATTCAGCGATGATTCTAGGATTCATGTATGAGCATGGAATAGGAACAGAGAAAAATTTGGCGCTTGCATTTAAATATTACAAGGTATGGTACGACGCTGCAATTTCACTGCCGTCTTCTTCCGTAGCATCATCATCACATGCACTTAATATCATGGGAATTTTTTATCGTGACGGAATTGGAATTGACCGAGATCCGCGGATGGCATTTGAATTATTTCAAAAAGGGGCCGCGCTGGAACATCTAGCTGCTCAGTATCATTTGTCATTATGTTTTCGTGATGGAATTGGAACGACTGTTGATTTCCCGAGCCATTCTTATTGGCTCTATAAAGCCGCTACATCGGGTTATACACCTGCGCAGCTTCAACTTGCCAATTTTCTTCGCGATGATGTTAAGGATTCTAATCATAAAGAGGGTGCGTTCAAGTGGTACTTGAAAGCAACTCAGAAGAGAGACCCAGAAGCAATGTTTCAACTTGGAGTATGTTATAAAACAGGATTCGGGACAAACAAAGATCTTAAAGCTGCATACACTCATTTCTTAACTGCTGCTGTTTCCGGCTCAAAAGAAGCTGCACTCTACCTCGCGGACGCATATCAAGACGGTCTAGGTACGAAGCGCGACGAGGCATCCTCATTACGATGGTACAAAGTTGCCGCAAAGAATGGAAATTTGACGGCACTCAATAAACTGGGACATGCTTATCACAGAGGGAGTGGTGTGAAGCGGAATCATTATAAGGCGTTTCGTTATTTTGTGCAATATTCGGAGAGAGCAGAGCGTGAAGAAGAGGACATGACGAATATTGGGATTTCGCAGTATGTGCTTGGAAATTGTTATCATTATGGATGGGGAGTCACGAAGGATTTGCATATGGCTTCAAAGTGGTATCGGAAAGCTATTGATAATGGAAATAGAAATGCTAGAGTTCAGTTCTTGTTGTATTTTATGGATTCAGGAAAAAAGTAGTAATTTTTTTTACTTCTTCATTTTATAAAATATTGCATAGAATTTTTCATTTATTTGGAAATTAGACATCTATATCGATATCACTTTTATTACATAGAAATTTTTTACTCTTATCAAACTATTAAAAAAAACAAATGAAATTATGCTTGCTATTATCATCACACTTAACCTTGAAATATTTTATGAAAATTCGGGAATTGTTATGATATTTCTATCGGTGAAAGTCAAATTTTTCAGCACGTCAGTTTGGATAAAATGAAAACTTCGGATCTCGAAGTGGAATATGTTTATTTAAATTCTCATACTAAACTTGCCGCATAAATACTTTGGTTGTGTGCTTTAGATGATTTCAATGGAAGAATGCTCAAATTCTGACAACTTTAAAAGTTTTAGTAGAAAAATGGGTGCAGAATAACTCAACTTTGAAAATTGTTTTGTGGCTAATACATGTAACTTTAAATCGGTCGATTTCATACATAAACCCTTTAAGTGAAAAAACTATGAAGAAATACACCTTGCTCGAAATATCTTCAAATTGTTGTTTTATAATATCCTTTCTCACAAAAAATTAATGAAATAGTTGGCACTCAATCATACGTGGATGGAATTGTTATTCTGAATTTTCTAGATCAATTAGCGCTGGTGTTGGTATGTGTCCATTTTTCAAGCCCAAACAAAAAAAGAGGTTCTCGTTATAACTAATATTTCTTCATGATATCAATAATTATTAAAAAAAAGTACATGTAATAAATTTTTATCAAATGTATGAATGAAAGATAAGTAAAGCTCTTATATAGACACTATTTTTTGAATCATTACTTAGATTTTTTAAAAGGAATATTCTATAAATAATGTTAATTTCATACTGAAAATATTTAATATCTCAAAGTTTTTATATACATAGATCGATTAGCATTCTCAGAAAACTTTTTTCTTTCTTCCAAAATGAAATTTTCGTTATGTATATATATTTATAAATTTAAAATAATCAATATGATCTAATAAATGATGTTTGAAAATATTCAAAATGCTTTAGAGTCAAAGAAACCAATCTATTTCAAATTTCAAAATCTATCAGCTCATTATATGGCAAAGTTTCAAAATTTTAATATTAATTTTGTTCTTTATAATTATAATACTGAGTTCTATAAAGCTGCAGTAAAATTTTGAGAATTTGACTCTTATATTAAGTTTTTGATAATTGATTAATTAAAACTTCTTGTATCATAAAAGATCAATATAAATTTCCAGATTTTTTGGGCTTTAAAAATTTCTGGAATTTATAAAAGTAAGTCAGGATTCAGTCCAATTAAAAATAAGAGTGAGTTGTAATTATATAATACTTATTTATTATTAGATTTTCAAGTAAATTATAATTAATTATAATTTAATTTATAAATTACATATATATATTAAATAAGTATTATATATTTATAATTTTATCTTAAATTAATAAATAAATAATTATATATTAATTTTAATATATAATTTTCAATAACTATCAGAGAAAACTAATATAAAAATTTAATTTCTTTAATTATAAGAAATTAAGTATTAATATTTTTGAAATTTAATAATAAATATTAAAAAATTATAATAAAACTTGAATTATTTTTGCTTAATAATTATAAATATTTAATATTAAAATAAATATATTAATTTTAAATTGAATTCTTTTGAAAAAAGATTTTAATCTAAAATATTAAAATATATATTTTATTATAAATCATTGTAAAAAAATTGATATATTAATATATAATTGATAATTACTTCTAATAAAAACATTCAAATTTTAACTAATCTTTATAATTTTTTTATATTAAAAAAATAATTTAAATTTACTTTTCATATTATTTTAATTATTTTTTTATTCTTTAATTAATAATAAATAAAGTATTACATTACTAAAAAAACTAAAATAAATTTTTTTAAAATAAAGATATTTTAAATATTATTATAATCAATTTATAATTTTAAAGTTTCAAATTATATAAACTTGATAAATATATATTTTAAATTTTATAAAAATTAAATTAATAATTATAAAAATATTAAGATTCAAAGTCTAGTAATTAAATTATTTAATATACTATTATGCCAAATCTGATAAGTGGATTTTCACTTAGATTTGTCTTAATAATATTAGATTGAAAAAGACTAAATTAATTAAAGATAAAGAAAGAGGAATTAGACTTTACTTTTAATACTGATAAAGATTTCTAAGATCTGTGCCAATATCTATAGATATTGTCTTTCAAAGAGATAATTTAATAATAAAGTTATTATTAATTAAAAAAGACTATAACTAAAAAAACTAGAATTAAGATAAATAAATACTAAATGACTAAAAAGGTATAGCTTATTTATAGTAGAGATTTTTTACTCTCAAAATAATAAAATAAATAAAATAAAAGTATGACTTATTTATAATAGAGATCTCCTACTCTCAAAATAATATCCAAAAATCAAAAATCAATATAATATTATGATCCAAATTAAAATTAACTTTATATGATTAAAGGAATAAAACTAAGTGAAAGAAAGAATACTAGTATAATTAAAAAAGAAAACTTTTAAAAAGATTACTATTATTATAATAATAAGCATTTTAATTATATTTTCTAAATAATTCAATTCAAAACTATTTATTTCAAGCTGGAATAGCAGATCCTTTTATATATTTTTTAAATATATAAATTATTATAGTATTACTAATTAATACTATTTAAATATATATATTATTATAAATAACTATAATATAAATATAATAAAAGAAAATATATATAATTATATAAAAATAAAAATAATTATATAATAAATAATAAAATAATAGAAAAAAATAAAATTTCATATAACCAAAGAAAGATTATGAAATTAAGAAATTTTATATTACTATAATAATATATAGTTCTTCTTTAAAAAATTTTTGCTTTTGCAAAAATCAAGTAATAATCTTCAATATTTCTTTCTTATTTAAATGATATAACTTGATTAATATAAAGTCAAATTAATTATTAAATACTTTTTCTTCAGATTTATAAATAAAAAAGATCTTTTAAGCAATATTATATAATCTATTATATATATATTTTTCAAGAAAGTCTTCAATATTCTTTTTAAATTCTGATATATCTCTTGAATATTTATGTAATTGAACTGAAAATACTTGTCCAAGTTTATAATATTAAGTTATTATTTGATTATTATTATCTAGTAAATTATTATAGATTAATAATATAGCTTCTTTAAGTTTAGCTAACCAGTCTTTCTTATAAGTAAATTTAATATCTTCAATAATAGAAACAGATGATTCAGATTTTTCTTCAGATATAATTAAACTGTCAGAACTTATAAATTCTGATTTTTCTTTAATATCTTCTTTACTATTATTAATTTCAAACTCATTCTTTAATAAAGTAATAATAAAGAAATTTAACTAGTTAAAGTCTATGTCAGTAGTTATATTAACTGATTTAACAGATACTTCAAGTAGTTTAATATTCATTTGAGAATTCAAGAGAAAAGTATTATCAATTTTAATATCTTTAATAAATTCAGATTATATAAGTAAATCTAATAATAAAATATGAGTTTTCTATCCTGTATTATCACAAGTAAGTAATTCAAAGATTGAGAAGATAATTATTTCAAAGAATTATTGAATGAGTATTTTCTGATAGATTTTTCTAAGAGATTCAATTATTTGAGAGATAATTCAAGTAGATAATTGAAACATAATAAAAATAATAAAAGTAAAAACTATAAAAAAGTTTGAAAAAGATATAAGATAATAAAAATAAAAGTAATAGATAAAAGTAAAAATATGAAAGAATAAAGAAAAAGATAAGAGAAATAGAGGAGATATTTATATAAATTTGAACTAAAAGTTTACTGTAAATAATAAGATATTAAAAAGATTAGGAAAAAATAATTATAAAAATAAATAAATAAAATAGAAGATAATTTAAATATAAAGATAACAAAAATTAAGAGATAATCTATATAATTATTTAATAATAATTTATAATTCAAAGTAATCTTGATGATTATAATAATATTTGAGTTGTTTTTTATTAATAGAATACTTGAGAATATTTCTATTCTGATCACAAATTTTATAAGAGTTATATCCAGTATAGTCATAAATATAATATAACTAAAGGAAAGAAAGAGTACTAGTATAATTAGAAAAAGAATCTTTATAAAAAGATTATTATTATTATAATAAGCTTTTTAATTATATTTTTCAAATAATTCAATTCAAAACTATTTATTTCAAGCTGAAATAACAGGTTTTTTTATATATTTTCAAATATATAAATTATTATAGTATTACTAGTTAATATTATTTAAATATATATATTATAATTAAATATTATAATTTAAATATTAATATTTAAAAATATATATATCAAAGAATATTAAAAGATATTAAAGAATTTTGAAGAATATTAAAAAGTATGAAAAAATATTTAAAGATATTATAAGATATTAAAAGATGTGAAAAAATATTAAAAGACATGGAAAAATATTAAAAGATATTAAAAGATTTTTGTGTTTATTATTCTAAATATAACTATTTTACTAAAATTAAAAATGAGCTTTTAATATACTATTCTACTATATATATAAATATTATATTATAAGTAATTTAAAAATATAGATCTTGAATAAAAATAAGATATAGTATTTAAAAATAGAAATATGATAATAAATATAGCAATAAAAATAAATATATAATATAAAAATAGAAATATTTATAAAATAAATAAAATTTTCTTATATCTTATTAGTTTGATAAAATTAGTAATATATATATATATATATATTCCAATAAAAATATTTTCATATAATATTATTATAAGATATTATATTTAAGTATATGTATTTTCAAATATATAAAGCTATAAATATTAAAATTAATTTAATATTAGAATTTCATATATTCAGATAATTTTATTTACTATTTATTTAGAATTTCTTGTAAGTTATTTATCAGA